TTGTAACAATTATAAGGCTGCTCAGATCTCTTTAGTGATAGTAATTCATTGTTACACTACAGAAGCTTTACCTCATTAAAAATAACGTGTTTTAGTTATTGTGGCTCCATCAACAGAACTTGGTGTCATTGTTAACAATAATCGTGTGTTTGATGGATATATTAGGATCTTCTTAAAGCTTCATTTGTAACATAATGATTTGCAAAGCTTTCAAAAGTTAATTATCTTGTAAGTCACAGCTGAAAGCCAGTGTCTCTTCAACCTGGCCTAAAAGAAAAATTAAAAGGCAAGGTTCACCTTAGAAAGAGCATTTACAAAGGGCTTGGCTGGTTCTCATCTATGATATAGAGTCCAGTGAGGTGGGAGTACTGAGAATTATTCAAACATGGGGGCGGGGTGCAGTACCAAGGTAATCATGGAATACTTGTAGGATAATAAAGGCCAGGAAGTTTAACTGGGTCCAGATTATAGAAGGACATGACTTCCAGGTGAAGAATTTTGGAGGTATGTAATATTCAGTGGAGAGCCATGGAAGAGTAGGGGTCCCAATGCCTTGGTTTAGAAAGATTAACCTGGCTATTATAGTGAGTGGAGTAGAGGGTTAGGAGTTGTGTGAGGTGAAAAAATGGAAAGGAAAAATATCCTGAAGCAAGTAAACACATAGAAAGGTATTGCAGTTGGCCTGGCATAAATTAATAAGAGAGTAGTCTGTTGTGATACAAGGAGAACAGAATGAGGAAATGACCAGAGGGGATTTTGTACCTATATCTGATTATATTTTGTGAATGATTAAACGTAGGGCATAGAAGGGGTTGGAGTCAAAGATAACACTGAGGCTTGTGATTTGGGTGGTGGTTAAATCATTAATGGAATTAGTTAAAAGACAAATTATTTAGTAGTAGCTGTTGAGGATTTGTTGAACTGAAAATACTAACAGAAAAACCAAATAGAAATACTTAGCAGAGTGTTAAAATATATATTATTCTGTAGTACATTTCACGTTGTGAAAATGTGCAAATGGTTTCTGTTTGTCTTTTTACCATGAAATTACTCGGTCATAGGATAAGAGCATTTTCAATTTTTATTTAATATTGCCAACTTGATCTCTTTACTGGTTGTACAAATGTAAATTCCTCTCAGCTGTTTATAAGGGTGTTCCTTCCACAATACTTGTATTGTCAGAATTTTTAAACTTTTGCTAATACTTACTCTCTTTGGTTGGATTTCCCTGGTAATTAGTAAGAATTAACATCTTTTTATATGTTTAATTACAATTGAGGATCTCTATTCTC